AACAGAAGTCCTCCCTATTGTCTAGTGCCTCCTCTCTTCCCAACTGGAAGGCGAGTTGATCATCATGGTCAATGTGAAGATGCACAAACTCTGTGGAATCCAGGCAGTACTTTGAATCCAAAATTTGAATGTAGCACAGAGCACAAGCACTGACAATTGTGGACAGTTCTCTTTATACTGCTTTCTGGCAAAACCACCAACCAGCCATAGCTTTAGTTGCTAGACAAAGCCTCTGTCTGACCATGCTTCCTTCTTCCAACATCAGCTTCCTCTCATTTTCATTATATTCATAGATTTTTGCCAAAATTCTTTGGGTTCCACTTTTGTTGTCTATGACATATAGAACTTTCTGGACTAAAGAATCGAGGCTAGCTCCAATGGAGCTGGATAACAGTTGTGTGCCACTATGCCCAGTTTTTTATTTGTCTTGCAAACTTTTTCACCCAGCCTCTCCTCGAGCCATGAACCTCTCGCCCTCCACTTCCTTGTTAGGTGGGGTTACAGGCACTGGCCACTGCACCTGGCTAGCAGGAATACTTCAATACTGTGATGTTAAAGAAAAATAATAAAAACAAAATCATATATAGTATGAATTCAAATACCTTTATCTGAGCAAGTTTATATATTAAGATTAGACAGCAATATATAAAACTAGAAATAGATATTTTAAGCTAAAAATATGAGTGCTTTGTATTGTTTCAAATATTTATTTTGCTATGGTATTAATTTTAATTGGCTAAATACAGTTTCCATAGAAATATTGTTTACATATTGAATCATGTAAATTATTTAAATGCTATTTAATTTAAAGATAATAAAGTAATATAATTTTATATCATTAATAAAATCATCATTGTCATAATACACAAAAAAGAATTGAGGCTGGGAAATGAAAACCCATTTACCTTATACCAATAATTGTAACTTCTCTAGTATACATTGAAAAGAAAGACACCAGGTTACACAATGTTGGGACTTAATCACAAATACACTGTGGTGATTGGTTTGCCAATAAATTTAATTAAATTAGGCTTCACTAGTAGAGCACTTTTCATAGCTCAATGTATTCTGTAAGCATCAAGCCAAATATTAGAAGGCAATTGATAAGCGAAAGGAAGTGAATCTTGAATCATTTTAAGTAGAAATATTTGAAGGAAATAAATATGGTTAGTTTCAGGAAGAAAATATGAGAAGAAGTTGATAACTACTTATAAAAACTTAAAGGGTTATTGTATTAAAGAACAAATAATATTTTCTCTTGTGAAACAGGATGTGTCATGGATACAGATTTTGTTTAATACAAAGTACTTTCCAACATTTTAGAAACATTTATGTGGAAATTACTGCTTTTAAAATTCTGAGTTAGTGAACTGGTATAATGATACAGCTTGTATTAGAATAGCCCTCCTACTGTAAATAATAAACTAGGAAAATATCATTTAAAAGGCAATTTGAAGGCCCTGGGGAGCAATCAGTAACATGCAGAAGCTGGAAAAGATGTGACCATTAAAAGAAGGAAGAGTGAGTACTGAAATCAATGGCCACACAGGTCTTTCCCCTGTGGGTATTCTTACTTGAGAGGGAAAGGGAAGCCAGAACTCTTTAGACTTATTGAGCTGAGTGAAGAGATAAGAGTGGCTCTAAATTGAGAATAATCCCCTTAAAAAAAAAACAAAAACAAAGGGAAGACCATCAATATTTGTCTACAAATCATGCTGAAGTGGTCAGGTGAGTTAGTTTTCCCTTGCTGTAAGAAAATACTTGAGACAATCAATTTAAAAAGAAGTGAAGATCTTTTGTGTCACAGTGTGTGAAGGTTTTAGTTGATGGTTGGTCCATTGCTTTGGGATCTGTGACAAGGCAGCACATCATGTCAGGAGTACATGGAAGAAGAAACTGCTCAGCTCATGGTAGCTGAGAAACAAAGACAGAAGAGGAGGAGGAGTCAGGTCCCCAAATGCCCTTCAAAGGCATAAAACTAATCTAAATTCCTTCCAGCAGGATGCACCTCTTAAACATTCTACTTCCAATTGGACTGGGGACCAAGGCTTAACATATGGGACTTTCACAATGGGTTAAAGGTGATTAGCCTTCAAATCCAATCAGAAAAGAATTAATTCTCTTCAGAAGATAATCACAATCTCCATACTGTGTTACCCACAATGTCATGTACACAATAAAAATTAATACACATCCTAAAAAAAAGGAAATTGTGACTTGTTGTCAAAAACCAGCACAAACAGACCAAGATGCAACAAGTATCAGAACAGGGAAAAATTTATAACTATGCTCAAGAATTTAAAGAAAATGGTGGCCATAATGAATGGATATAGGACCTCATCAAGAATCATGGAGACCTCGAAAAGACTCAACTAGAAATGCTATGTAACATCTGTCATGGATGCACCTGCAGACTGCAATAAGTTTCAGTGTACTTTGAAGAGAAATCTACAGTTATTCTATTTTATGAAAAAAATGGAGAAACAAAGTATTGGTGATCTATTAGACATGTATTTAATTAAATTATCAGAGGAAATGAAAGACAGAGAATGTGGCAGAGAAGTAATTTAAGGAAGTAATGACTGGAAGTCCCCCAAAGTTGGTTATAAGAAGTCAATCCATTAATAAAGCTCAAAGAAACTCAAGCTGGATAAATACGAAGAAAAGCATGTCATAGACTAACTACAGAAAAATAGAGATTAAAAAAAAAGTAAAACCATTAATGATTCCCATCAGATAAAAATGGAAGTAAAAAACTGTTGAGGAATAAAAGAAAAGTCTGCCCTCCCAGAATTCTATACTCAGTAAAGATACCATGAAAAATGCATCCAGGATAAAAATATTTTCAGATTTTAGAAAAGCTGAGAAATTTGACTCTAGCTTTTGTGCACTACAAGAAAAACAATAGTCTCCAGATTTGGAAGATTGAGAATTGGTAACAGATGGATCTATAAGAAAGAGAGAAAAACACAAGAAATTGGGTAAGTGGGGAAATGTAAAAGCCATCTTATATTCTTCTCTTAACTTTAACGAGAGACAACTGAGTGCTAACCAAAACATAAAAGTTTGTGGTATAGTTTGTAATTATGTGTATGCAAAACATAACAGTGGTGACACACAAGAGTGCAGAATGGAAGAACACTATTGCAAAATTTCATGTGAAATGGTACAATATTAACTCCTGTTAGATTGTGGTAACATAGGAGCAATCTATACAAAGGAAATGCAAAGAGGTATGCTAACAAACACCAGAAGAAACGTGCCTTTGTCATCCCTGGAAGTGTTCAAGTTGGAAGATCACCAGGTCACAAAATTCAGAAAGACCTGAGTTTGAGTGATTCTTCTGTCAAGCAAAGGCTGTGACTTTGGTATGTATACGATGACATCCATATATTTATTTATCCTCATAGCAAAGTTTCCCAGTGCATGTTTGATCTTGAGTTTTTGGCAGCTTTCATGTGGGCAACTGTGGATATTTAAGTTCAAAAAGCTCAATTTCTTGGCCCCTCTGATGAATGCAGATCAAAGCTAATAACTTATTATATTTTGTTATGGCTTTGGTGCCAGATTTTGTTTGTTTTATGCTTTCAATAAAACACTATTTCTGCATTTAAGAAATGCCTTCTGCTGTCATTATTGAGAAGTACAATCCTGATAAATCTATTCGGAAACAAAGAGTAACAAATAACGTGCATACAGAGGAAAATGGAAAAATTCTAGAACTCCACTCCCACATTCCTTCCCCATCCACACTTCTCCCATATTGGAGCAGTGCCAAGTACTCTTCACAGCTTAAATTTACTTCTGTGCAGCTGCAACTCTGCAGGAGGTCAGAGGACATTGGGTTTTTCCACTTTCTGTGTATTGTGGAGTCCTCATGAGCCATAGCAAACCTGAAGCCCACTATTGATAGAAGGATTTGTGCCTAACAACATTTAATAACCAGGGCATTTATCTCTCAATGCTTCCACTACCCTCTCTCCTGGTCTCCCTTTCTCCCTCCTTCCCAGGTCAAGTTGGCCTCCTCCAATCCTGAGCAAAAGAAAACACAACAACCCCTGGGCCTCCTGCCTGAGTGGCTCCAAATAGCAAGGCACTGCCAAGGCCAATTTGCAAGCCAAGGGTCTGGAGTGGGAGCAAATCAAATGCAAAACACTCTTGCGAAACAGAATTTTCTGTTTTTCTGCCCAGGCCCAGGGATCCTGAGCTCTTCCTGCCAGCCACAGAGCTGCCTTGGCTCTTATTACAGGCTGCCGTGGGCTGGCTCTTATCTTGTTCTTGCCTCTCCTCTTAGAGCTGTGACAACTTGTTTTCATTTCCTTTCCTCCTAGTTTGAGTGAACTTCCGAGAGCTTCACCCCTCAGAAAGACTGAGCCACCGGCCGCTGCTCTCCAGCGCTGGAGGGCGCGCGGGGCTCAAGGCCCGGGCTCCTAGGGACCGCGTCCCACTGGTGTCAGGGAACCCCGGGACCGCGCCCCTGTCCCTCCTCCCCGCCTCGCTGGGGTTTTCTGGGAACTTCCTGCTCTTCCCTCTCTCTCCCACCTCCTCCTCTTTCTTCTCTTTCCTCCTCGGGCAAATTTCACCCTGCGCGTGGCGTTGCTGAGCCGAGCGGTCTGAGGGCGGTGAGTGGCCGCGGGCGCCGAGTGGGGCCTGGCAGGGGCGGCGCGGGAGAGGCCGAGGCCAAGGTCAAGGTCATAGCCAAATCGGGGGGGCGGACCTGGCGGGAGGAGCGCAGCTCGGGGCAGTGGCGAGCACAGCATCCTCAGGTAGTCGCGGGAGCCCCACGCGTGAGATGGAGACGTGACAGGTGGTGGAGAGCTGTTCCCAGCCTGGGACTGTGGTGTCCAGTTCCCCACCCCCGGGTTCCGTAACCCAGTACTAGTAGTCAGGATGAAGGTTTTCTGTTGGAGACAGAAAGTCACCAGGCTCTGGTGACAGCGCTCTGGAGAGGCGGCTGCGCTTCCAATGCGCACTCTCCATCCGTGCGTTTGCGTTTCTGTCCCGTGCGGGTCCTGCCTGAACACACATCTCCTGCTTCTACCCCAGGCGGCTCTCAGCGATGGCCAGGCCGCTCGCAGGTGAAAGGTTTGTGACAACTTTACGGGCAGTGGGGTACAGGAGAGAGCCTTGTCTCTGGCATTGCCCATTAGCGCAAACGAGAGGTGACAGTGATTTGTGTACTTACATTGTTCCTAAAAACAAAACGTTCCTAGGTCAAGACATGGGATTTTATTTAATTTATTTTGTGACTTTGTTTATGTTAGAATCTAAAATTTCATTTTTTATTATATTGCATTGTTTACACGGAGTCACTAAAAATGACAAATCAATGCATTTTAAAGGATGTAGATTCGGTGCTGTCAATTGCACGCTATGAAAAACAAGCAACTCTTCCATTCAGCTTGTGAAAGTCAAGAACACTCTTCATCTCACTATGACATCTTTGTGAACTTATGGCCCAGTAATATTAGTCAGTGCACAGTGACATTCTGATTAGAAAAGAGGATGCAGAATTGTCACTTTATGTATGATGTGATTACATACCTTGAATGTCCAAAGAAAGCCAATGAAAAACCCGTACATAGGAAGAATAAAAAAAAAGCAAAGTTTCCAGTTGCATTATACTTTACAGAAGTTAAACTGAATGTGTACATTAGAAAATACAGTAAAACAAAATGAACTTCAATTTGGCATAAAATAACACAAAATTGAAAAGTCTGTTGTAAAAAAAGATATGACTCTGGGAACTTAAATGAAAATATGTTATTTGTGTACTAGATTGATATCAGACCTCAATAAAGTATATAATAACTTTCCTTGCTTAAAATATAATTTCCATAAAGTAATATATAAATTAAATAAAAACCTAACAGACTAGTTTTGGCTTAAAACCTGGGCTGTTTAACTTATATGAAAGAATTTTAAAAAATGAATAAATACTTGAAAATAGGAAGACTACAATTAAATGTATGTATGTGGAACTTTCTTATAAAAGACATTATAAATAATTAAAAGACAGTGGGATGAACCTACGATGAGACATTTCAAAGAAACTGAAGGATAGATTTGAGGGTAAAAGGAAAACTGGCATTTGATACTTGTTAAATCAAAGTGTGAGGAAGAAATTTAATTCATCATACTTGGACAATGTGGTATTTATTTGGGAAAACTAATTAAAGTGGAACTATACAAATGTAGTCTAAATGACTTAATAATTTATATATATACATATGTATGAACTCTAAAATTAAGAAAACCTGAATAAATATTTGTGCATATGGAGAAAGCATTTCTAAACATAATATAAAAATGGAGACCCATTTAGAGACACAAATTTTATTAAAGCTTGTGTGTGTGTGTGTGTGTTTCAGGATAGTTTTTATGGCATAAAGTTTCAAACAATTTAAAATTTCATTATTATGCAGCCAGTCGAATATTTTATGATGTAGTCATTTAAAAGAATAAGTTTACATGCACTGAAATATAGTCAGTAAGACATCTTAATAAACAAGATGCAGACATGTATCCGGAAGACTGCTATTAAGACTGCCATTTGTAATAAAAGATCCGCATAATAGATGTGACACCCATCACCACAATTTAGGTTTAGGACACTTATATCACTACTCCAAGGATCACTCCTGTTTGCAATTCATCTTGGATTTCTTCTCCCAGCCCTAGGGAGACACCAATCTGATTTCTAACTATAGATTTTCCTTTTCTGGATATTTCATCTGAATGAAATCATGCAGTATGTGATCTTTTGTGGTTAGCCTTTTCACTTACCAAAATGTCAAGGGTCATCTCTGTTGTAACATTGATCGGTAACCCAGCTCTTTTTACTGACAACTATTCTGTTGCATGGATGCAGCACATTCCATACATCCACTCTTCAGTTGATGGACATTTGAGTTTCTTCTAGTTTGGAGCTATTATTATTAATGCTGTTATAAAGAAAGATAATATGTACACATTAATTTGTGTATGCCTTGGAAATCTCTTGGAACACAAGCTTAATATGTAGACTGGAAAGTGGGAATTGGTGTAGGAGGAATTTTGACACCATGTAAATTTGTGTACTGCTTGACTGCTCGAATAATTATTTGTTTGTAGATATCACTCTTTTCAAATGGCTTTTTAAGTAGACATGGTTTCTTATCAAGAGGATTTAGTTACAAGCCACACGATGTGACCTGATGTCTGACGAGCCAGAAAATGACATAAGTGGGCAGTATCTGGCAACATTGTAGATATTGTGAGTGGCAGGGTAATGTTTCCTTAACTGTATTATACAGTCATGTGAATATTGTTGTTCTGACTGTTGGTATATCACATGACAAAAGCTGGGGCTTGAACTCATGGCCTTGTGATTGCTAGGCAGGTGTTGCACCACTTAAGCAATGCCCCCCTTTCTGTTTTAGTTTGTTTGTCAGTTAGGGTTTCTCTTCTTGCCCATGGCTGGCCTTGCACTGTGATCCTTCCTGTCCATGCCTCCCTCCTTTATATTTGGGACTGCAATTACATGACACCGTGCCTGGTTTGTTTGTTTGTTTGTTTGCTGGCTGGGCTGGAACTACGATCCAGCATCTCCCTCTGCAGTAGCTGGGATTATAGGTGTGAGGTACTGTTTCAGGCCAAAGCATTTCTTTTATGAGAGGTAAGACAGAAAACCCTGGTTATCTCTTTAAACAATTTGAACTAATTTAATATGTAAAATAAAAGTTATCTATGCACTGGGCCTACCAGTTTACTTCCATTTAATCTCAGTTTTTGTTTTAAAATAGTACCCCATAACCAAACTCCAAGATCTTTAACATTTCCTAAAGGATAAAGAAATATTTAACCATACATACATTTTTTTTTCCTCTGGAAGAATTCATGGTGGGAAAAAATGATGAATATGTTTATATAGATTATAAAAGCAAACTATAAAATTGATTAAATTTTGTCAACATTTTCATTTGTTGTAGTGAAAATTGACCAGTCTCTCAAGTCCTCGTAGGATTGATTTATGCAAAGATGCAGTTATATGAATATGTAAGTTGTGTGTGTAGTTTGTCCATGGGACATTTTCACTGCAGATTTTGTCCCAGCAGACTTACATCTGCCTTGTTACTGAGCTTTTGAACCTGCTTTTGAGTGGGATACTTTCCTTAATTCCAGCCGATGTAACAGCATCTCTTAAGTTACCAATCAGTGGAAGAGTGACGACTGAAACCTTCTTAGTCATTGGGCCTTAATCCACTCCTACTGAGCCCCTTCATCTAGTAACTGAGAAACCCATAAAACTAATGAACACAATACACCACAAGAGCCAAGAATTTTCCTTAAAATCTACACAGAGATTTACACTTGAGCAGGCGTGAATAAACCTTTTATCTTTGGTGAATTTGGAGGTCTGTTTAGGTATGGATTCATGGTGAGAGCATATTGTCAGCTTTGCTTCTCTTTGCTTTTCAAATTCAGATTATAAAATATATTCCATATCAACAAAAACTGAATGAGGAAATATTGTTTGCATTTTGTCATGTTCCCTCCAAGTTTTTTTGCACTTTAAAAAGTAACTGTCATTATCCAGATTATATCATAAATATTTTATGGTGCTTACAAAATCATTTGTGCCTATACTTTTCAAGGAATTTTTCAAGGAATGTGATTTCATCATCGTGTTTCACTGTAGTGTGTTTACCTAACTTGTGCCAGATATTTATGTAGCTTATAATTGCTACTGTTTCCATCCTGTGTTCTAAAGAATTAGAATGCATCACTTAAAACAAAAATTTTACAGCATATTTTGACTATCTCTTGGGATTTGATATAGATTCAAAATTCACTGAGTTTGCAAAAGAGTTTTGAGAAAACATTACATTAATATTCCTTTGGTGGTTTACTTATTCTTTGTTTTGCATGTTGACCTCATGTCCTGCCACACTGCTGAACTTGTTCCTTAGTTCTAGTGGTTCTTGGTGGATTCCTCAGAAAATTGAGCCACTCTACCAGCCATTTTTTGTGAAGAGATTTTTCAAGATAGGGTCTCACAGAGCTCTTTGCCCAGCTTGGCTTAGAAGCCCGATCCTTCTGATCTCTTCCTCCTGTCTTTTTTTTAACATAATTGTCCCAGCTAGAACCTACAGTGTAACATTGAAAAGAGGTGGAGATGGTGAAGGCTGTCCTCCAGTTGTGGGTCCTACAGGAAAGCAGCCAGCCTTTCTCTATTAAATATGACGCTAGTGGTGGAGGGCCTCAAAGGGGCCTTGATTGGATTACTGAGGCTCAATTCTCCCTCTAGGTCTTTTAGTACTTGATGTGTTTTTAATTAAGAAAGAGTATTGCATTCGGCCAACTACTTTTTCTGCTAACTCTTGAGATGATAGACTTTTGTCCTGCATTTTATTACTGTGGTACATTAACTGACCAATTTTTTTGGCTGATAAACTTTATTGCTAGATAAATCCCACGTAGTCATCGTGTGTTATCCTTTTATGTTGCTGGATTGATTTTCCTAGTATTTTTCTGGAGGCTTTTGAGCCTGAATTTTTAAATAATATTAGCATAGCTCTACCAAGGTCACACTAAAAAAAAGAATTGGGATACGTTCACATTTAATTTTCTGGAAAAGTTTGTGAAGAATTGACATTCATTCTTTATTCAACATTTGGTCTTTTTTTTTTTTTTTTTTTTTCTTTTTTGGTGCCTCACGCATGCTAGGCAAGCGCTATACCACCAAGCTACATCCCAGCCCGTTTATTCAACATTTGGTAGAAATCCTCAGTGAAGTCATCTGTATTTGTAGGAAGTTTTAAATTCATTCCCTTATAATTCTATTTTGGTTTTCCTGAGTCAATTTTAGTATTGTGCCTGTCTAGGATTTACCTGCTTTATCTGGCTTATCTAAACTTTGTGTGTGTGTGTGTGTGTGTGTGTACACACACATATTTTTCCAATGGTAGGGGTAAAACCCAGGGCCTCACCCATGCTGAGTACACTAAGCACACATTTTACCATTGAGCTGCATTCTCCACTAAGTTCATGTTTTTCCATAATTTTTCCTCTTTTCTTCAGACTGGATGATTTTTAC